TGATGTTGGCTCAACTGAACGAATTATTGCAGTTGATGAATGAACAGAAGAAGGAGAAAAAGGAGACTCCATTGATGGGTAAGGCTCATATAGCTTCTTCAGCAGGTATTCTACCAACTCCTGGAAAAGTGCCTAAGATAAATTTAGATGAAGAAGAATCATCTGGGAAGACAGTAATGAGTAAATCTGATAAGAACATGTGGTTGTCTCAACCAAGATTAGAGCTTCCAAATTTTGAAGGTAAAAATCCCAGAGACTGGCTAAGAAAATGTGAAAAGTTCTTCAGTATATATGAAGTTTCTGATGAAAAGAAGTTAGATGCGGTTGAATTGTATCTAGATGGGAAGGCGGATAAATGGTACCAGAGTCTAAAAAGAGTTAAGTCAAAAATCTCGTGGGATGAATTTGAAATAGAGCTCATTAAACGATTTGGTGAGAAAGGAGGAAGAGATGATATAGAGGAGTTCAATAAGTTGCAACAAAAAGGTACTGTGTTGGACTATCATGAACGATTTGAAGAACTGAAATCCTTAGTGTTGTGCAAGGATCCTCATCTATCAGAGAAATATTTCATATCCAGCTTCATTAGTGGATTGAAGGAGGAATTGAAACCCATGGTCAGGCTGCTGGAACCATCAACCCTGCTTAGAGCCTTTGAAATTGCTATGATTCAAGAGCAAACGTTGGAATTTGCTTTGAAAGCTAAAGCAGGTATGGCTAGTAGCAACAAGCTGTTTCAACCCCAAGTAAGAAATCCTCATGTGATGAGGAACACAGCAGTGAAAGGAACAGGAAGTGAAGGTTTCAAAAGGCTGTCACCTCAGGAGATCCAATACAGAAGGAACAACCAACTATGCTGGAAATGTAAGGACAAATGGGGACCTGGTCATGTATGCAAGATCAAACAGCTTAATGTTATTGTGGCTGAAGATGATGAGGATCTGAGAGACCTTAATATAATTGAGGAAGGAGTTACTGATGCTGGCAATGTGGTGGTTATTCCTGAAGATCACATTCAAACAATTACTCAGATGGATGAATGTTGGGCAGTAAAGGAGGAAGACCGCAAGATAATTGTGATTATTGGATTCATTAATCAAGTTTTGATAAAAATCCTTGATAGATACTGGAGCTTCGAGAAGCTTCATCAATGATCAGTTGGTCAGGAGAATGAGATTCCCAACAAGGACCATCAGGCCATTTATGGTCACTGTTGCTGGTGGTTATAAAATCAGGAATGATCAACTTTGTCCAGAGACTATTTGGTCTATCCAACAATATGATTTCCGGTTTGATCTCAAAGTGATTGATTTGGGAGAGTGGGACATCATACTGGGAACTGATTGGCTGTCAAGGTTTAGTCCCATAACCTTTGATTATGATCGGTTTACTATTCATCTCAACAGAAAAGGAGAAAGGTTCTTGTTGAAAGGAGAAGCCTATGAGACTCACAGGAGGATTGAAGATGTACTGGAAAATGTAGAGTTTCATAAGAGAAAGAGAGAGCAATGGCAGAGGGAACAAGAGATAAGGGCTGTGGAATATGGGAGAACCAGAAGAGCAACAGAGGCAGTAGGTTGGAATGCAGGTTGTTTATACACAGTCCACATTGAAGAAGTACCACAGGAGATTGCCTTTATTCTTAGGCAATATCAAGAGGTGTTTGCTGAACCAGTGGCATTACCACCTCCAAGAAAGGTGGATCACCAGATATGCTTAAAACCCGGAGCAGTACCATTCAAGTTGAAACCCTACCGGTACCCTCATGCCCAGAAAGCAGAAATTGAGAAACAAGTGGAGCAGCTGTTGGAAAAAGGGACTGCTAGACATAGTAATAGCCCTTATGCCTCTCCAGTTTTAATGGTTCAGAAGAAGGACGAATCATGGAGATTATGCACTGATTATAGGAAGCTTAATGAGATGACAATAAAGAACAGATTTCCAATACCTGTGATTGAGGAATTACAGGATGAGTTGCAAGGTGCTCAAGTATTTTCTAAGATCGATTTGCGGTCTGGCTATCACCAAATCCGGATGAAGGAGGAGGACATTCCCAAGACTGCATTTCAAACACACCATGGGCATTTTGAGTTTCTAGTCATGCCATTTGGCCTCACTAATGCACCAGCAACATTTCAGGCTCTAATGAATCAGGTATTTCAGCCCTACCTGAGGAAATTTGTATTGGTCTTTTTTGATGATATCTTGATTTACAGCCTCAATATGGAAGATCATGCCACTCATTTGACCATTGTTTTAAAGACCTTAAAAGAAAATGAGTTGTTTGCTAAACAAAGCAAGTGTCAGTTTGCTCAAAATTCCATTGGATATTTAGGCCATGTCATCTCAAAACAAGGGGTAGCTATGGACAGTGATAAGGTTTCTAGCATAGTAAACTGGCCTGTGCCTGCATCTGTAAAAGAACTGAGAGGTTTTTTGGGGTTGGCAGGGTATTATAGAAGATTTGTTAAGGGTTTTGGGGTCATTAGTAAACCTCTAACAATGTTATTAAGGAAAGATTCCTTCAAGTGGACTGCATCTGCTACCACAGCATTCGTAAAGTTAAAGGAAGCCCTCTCAACTGCTCCAGTCCTTCTTCTACCAAATTTCAATAAGCCTTTTGTGGTTGAGACCGACGCATGCGATCAAGGAATTGGAGCTGTGCTTATGCAGGAAGGACACCCCATAGCCTACCTCAGTAAGGCCATCAGTCCTAGAAACCAAGCTTTATCAATCTATGAAAAAGAACTTCTAGCATTGGTGATGGCAGTTGACAAGTGGAAACATTATTTATATGGCCACCATTTCATTATCAAGTCAGACCAACAGGCTTTAAAATATTTAATGGAGCAGAAGATCTCTACAACTATGCAACAGAAGTGGCTCTCTAAGTTGCTTGGTTTAGACTATGAGATCCAGTACAAGAGGGGTAAGGAGAATATTGTTGCGGATGCATTATCAAGGAGGAGACATGAGGAAGGAAATACTGAAAGTTTAAATGCCATTTCCATAATACAACCCCAATGGATTCAACAGATTGAAGAAAGTTATCTCAATGATGAAGATGCACGACTCTTGATAGCTACTGCTTCTTTGAGTAATGATTCCTCTCAAAATTTACAATTTATTCAAGGCATATTGAAGATGGATGGAAAAATCTATGTGGGTAACAGTTCTAATATCAGGCAGCAGCTTTTGCAACACTTCCATTCATCTTCACTGGGTGGGCATTCCGGACAGAAAGCCACTTACAACAGGCTGAGAAGTGTTTTTATATGGAAGAATCAGAAAGCAGATGTAGATAAATATGTCAAAGCTTGTGTGATCTGTCAACAACATAAAAATGAGCATTTGCCATATCCGGGGTTGCTACAACCCTTGGAGATTCCACAGGAAGCTTGGAGAAGCATCTCAATGGATTTCATAGACCAGCTACCTCCTTCTGCTGATAATTATGATTCAATTCTGGTGGTAGTGGATAGACTGACTAAATACGGCCACTTTATCCCCTTGAAGCATCCTTATGCAGCAAAAGACATTGCTGAAATTTTTTTCCGGGAGATATTCAGGTTGCATGGTATTCCTGATTCAATTATCAGTGATAGGGACAGGATATTTACTAGCCATTTCTGGAAGGCCTTGTTCAAAACTGTGGGAGTTAAACTCAACCTCAGTACGGCTTATCATCCTCAAACGGACGGTCAAACTGAACGGGTGAATCAGTGTTTAGAAGCATACCTCAGGTGTTTTTGCAGTTCTTCCCCCAACACATGGTCATCTTGGCTGGTTCTTGCAGAGTGGTGGTATAACACTTCGTTTCATTTCAGTGCAAATACCACTCTGTTTGAAGCTTTATATGGTACTAAACCTCACAGTATTCCTTTGGGGCCTTACTCTTCAATTATAATACCAGCTGTTGCGGATATGTTGAATCAGAAAGCTAAGATCATGGTACTGCTAAAGGAGAGCCTGACCAAAGCACAGAGTCGGATGAAATTCTATACTGACCAAAAGCGTACAGAAAGAGTGCTACAAGTTGGAGACTGGGTGTACTTGAAAGTTCACCCTTACAAGCAGAATTCTGTGGCAATGCATACAGCTTTGAGGTTTACAGTGAGGTGGTATGGACCCTTTAAGGTCATAGAAAGGATTGGAAGCGTGGCTTATAAGCTCCAGCTACCTGCTCACTCAAAAATCCATCCCACATTCCATGTCTCTCTGCTTAAAAAGCATACAGGCAATGCTCCAGTGATGCCAGCTGAACTTCCCGACTTGGCAGATGATCAAGAAGGTATGCTAATTCCTGAGAAAGTGCTTCAAAGGAGATTCATAAAAAGGGGAGAACAGAATATTGTGCAGTGGTTAATTAAGTGGAAGAATCACGAGCTTGAGGATTCTTCCTGGGAGGACAGTGCTTTCATCACCAAACAGTTCCCCTCATTCAAGACTTGAGGACAAGTCTTATCTCAGCAGGAGGCATTGTCATGAACCGGCAATTTAAATTACTATAGGAGGGTAATGATAATTTACTTTTACTGTTTTGGTTTTTATCCTTTTATTAGTCTGATGTAAGCATTCCTGCCATGTACGTTTCGTGAGCTAGAAGCTGCCAAAATCAACAGCTGTCACTCAAGCTCCTTCCTAGCAATTTCCCTGTAATCATGGTTAGGATGATTAGTCAGGTTAGCTATTAAATAGGAGGAAAGGTTAGCAGAAGCGGTAGGCAAAATTTTGAAGAAAAGATTCTTTTCTCTTCTGTCCTTTTCTGATCTCTTTTTCGCACCCTTTTCTTTTCTTTTCTTCTTCTTTAATGATCGGTCTTCAACTCTCTTTCCCCTCCTCTTTTCTACCCTTCCTAATTTGATCCATCAATCACAATATTAAAAAGACCGTTGCATCACATTTGGTATATCAGAGCTGACGTGTCCTTGGCTTTTGTGTAACGTTCAAATCGGGATTCCCACAGGAAAAGAAAGATTCTGTCTTTTGTATGAAAAACAATGGCAGAAACTAGGGCTAAGACCACTCGAGCCCTGGAAGAGCACGTGAAGAAACAGGACTTACAGCTTTTGGAAATTTGTGAATGGAGGAAGCAGATGGAGGAAAAATTGAGCAACTGGGGAAGTTTACTTGAAGCGAAGGTGGATAAACAGGCGACTCACTCTCAGATGATGTTGGCTCAACTGAACGAATTATTGCAGTTGATGAATGAACAGAAGAAGGAGAAAAAGGAGACTCCATTGATGGGTAAGGCTCATATAGCTTCTTCAGCAGGTATTCTACCAACTCCTGGAAAAGTGCCTAAGATAAATTTAGATGAAGAAGAATCATCTGGGAAGACAGTAATGAGTAAATCTGATAAGAACATGTGGTTGTCTCAACCAAGATTAGAGCTTCCAAATTTTGAAGGTAAAAATCCCAGAGACTGGCTAAGAAAATGTGAAAAGTTCTTCAGTATATATGAAGTTTCTGATGAAAAGAAGTTAGATGCGGTTGAATTGTATCTAGATGGGAAGGCGGATAAATGGTACCAGAGTCTAAAAAGAGTTAAGTCAAAAATCTCGTGGGATGAATTTGAAATAGAGCTCATTAAACGATTTGGTGAGAAAGGAGGAAGAGATGATATAGAGGAGTTCAATAAGTTGCAACAAAAAGGTACTGTGTTGGACTATCATGAACGATTTGAAGAACTGAAATCCTTAGTGTTGTGCAAGGATCCTCATCTATCAGAGAAATATTTCATATCCAGCTTCATTAGTGGATTGAAGGAGGAATTGAAACCCATGGTCAGGCTGCTGGAACCATCAACCCTGCTTAGAGCCTTTGAAATTGCTATGATTCAAGAGCAAACGTTGGAATTTGCTTTGAAAGCTAAAGCAGGTATGGCTAGTAGCAACAAGCTGTTTCAACCCCAAGTAAGAAATCCTCATGTGATGAGGAACACAGCAGTGAAAGGAACAGGAAGTGAAGGTTTCAAAAGGCTGTCACCTCAGGAGATCCAATACAGAAGGAACAACCAACTATGCTGGAAATGTAAGGACAAATGGGGACCTGGTCATGTATGCAAGATCAAACAGCTTAATGTTATTGTGGCTGAAGATGATGAGGATCTGAGAGACCTTAATATAATTGAGGAAGGAGTTACTGATGCTGGCAATGTGGTGGTTATTCCTGAAGATCACATTCAAACAATTACTCAGATGGATGAATGTTGGGCAGTAAAGGAGGAAGACCGCAAGATAATTGTGATTATTGGATTCATTAATCAAGTTTTGATAAAAATCCTGATAGATACTGGAGCTTCGAGAAGCTTCATCAATGATCAGTTGGTCAGGAGAATGAGATTCCCAACAAGGACCATCAGGCCATTTATGGTCACTGTTGCTGGTGGTTATAAAATCAGGAATGATCAACTTTGTCCAGAGACTATTTGGTCTATCCAACAATATGATTTCCGGTTTGATCTCAAAGTGATTGATTTGGGAGAGTGGGACATCATACTGGGAACTGATTGGCTGTCAAGGTTTAGTCCCATAACCTTTGATTATGATCGGTTTACTATTCATCTCAACAGAAAAGGAGAAAGGTTCTTGTTGAAAGGAGAAGCCTATGAGACTCACAGGAGGATTGAAGATGTACTGGAAAATGTAGAGTTTCATAAGAGAAAGAGAGAGCAATGGCAGAGGGAACAAGAGATAAGGGTTGTGGAATATGGGAGAACCAGAAGAGCAACAGAGGCAGTAGGTTGGAATGCAGGTTGTTTATACACAGTCCACACTGAAGAAGTATCACAGGAGATTGCCTTTATTCTTAGGCAATATCAAGAGGTGTTTGCTGAACCAGTGGCATTACCACCTCCAAGAAAGGTGGATCACCAGATATGCTTAAAACCAGGAGCAGTACCATTCAAGTTGAAACCCTACCGGTACCCTCATGCCCAAAAAGCGAAAATTGAGAAACAAGTGGAGCAATTGTTGGAAAAAGGGACTGCTAGGCATAGTAATAGCCCTTATGCCTCTCCAGTTTTAATGGTTCAGAAGAAGGACGTATCATGGAGATTATGCACTGATTATAGGAAGCTTAATGAGATGACAATAAAGAACAGATTTCCAATACCTGTGATTGAGGAATTACAGGATGAGTTGCAAGGTGCTCAAGTATTTTCTAAGATCGATTTGCGGTCTGGCTATCACCAAATCCGGATGAAGGAGGAGGACATTCCCAAGACTGCATTTCAAACACACCATGGGCATTTTGAGTTTCTAGTCATGCCATTTGGCCTCACTAATGCACCAGCAACATTTCAGGCTCTAATGAATCAGGTATTTCAGCCCTACCTGAGGAAATTTGTATTGGTCTTTTTTGATGATATCTTGATTTACAGCCTCAATATGGAAGATCATGCCACTCATTTGACCATTGTTTTAAAGACCTTAAAAGAAAATGAGTTGTTTGCTAAACAAAGCAAGTGTCAGTTTGCTCAAAATTCCATTGGATATTTAGGCCATGTCATCTCAAAACAAGGGGTAGCTATGGACAGTGATAAGGTTTCTAGCATAGTAAACTGGCCTGTGCCTGCATCTGTAAAAGAACTGAGAGGTTTTTTGGGGTTGGCAGGGTATTATAGAAGATTTGTTAAGGGTTTTGGGGTCATTAGTAAACCTCTAACAATGTTATTAAGGAAAGATTCCTTCAAGTGGACTGCATCTGCTACCACAGCATTCGTAAAGTTAAAGGAAGCCCTCTCAACTGCTCCAGTCCTTCTTCTACCAAATTTCAATAAGCCTTTTGTGGTTGAGACCGACGCATGCGATCAAGGAATTGGAGCTGTGCTTATGCAGGAAGGACACCCCATAGCCTACCTCAGTAAGGCCATCAGTCCTAGAAACCAAGCTTTATCAATCTATGAAAAAGAACTTCTAGCATTGGTGATGGCAGTTGACAAGTGGAAACATTATTTATATGGCCACCATTTCATTATCAAGTCAGACCAACAGGCTTTAAAATATTTAATGGAGCAGAAGATCTCTACAACTATGCAACAGAAGTGGCTCTCTAAGTTGCTTGGTTTAGACTATGAGATCCAGTACAAGAGGGGTAAGGAGAATATTGTTGCGGATGCATTATCAAGGAGGAGACATGAGGAAGGAAATACTGAAAGTTTAAATGCCATTTCCATAATACAACCCCAATGGATTCAACAGATTGAAGAAAGTTATCTCAATGATGAAGATGCACGACTCTTGATAGCTACTGCTTCTTTGAGTAATGATTCCTCTCAAAATTTACAATTTATTCAAGGCATATTGAAGATGGATGGAAAAATCTATGTGGGTAACAGTTCTAATATCAGGCAGCAGCTTTTGCAACACTTCCATTCATCTTCACTGGGTGGGCATTCCGGACAGAAAGCCACTTACAACAGGCTGAGAAGTGTTTTTATATGGAAGAATCAGAAAGCAGATGTAGATAAATATGTCAAAGCTTGTGTGATCTGTCAACAACATAAAAATGAGCATTTGCCATATCCGGGGTTGCTACAACCCTTGGAGATTCCACAGGAAGCTTGGAGAAGCATCTCAATGGATTTCATAGACCAGCTACCTCCTTCTGCTGATAATTATGATTCAATTCTGGTGGTAGTGGATAGACTGACTAAATACGGCCACTTTATCCCCTTGAAGCATCCTTATGCAGCAAAAGACATTGCTGAAATTTTTTTCCGGGAGATATTCAGGTTGCATGGTATTCCTGATTCAATTATCAGTGATAGGGACAGGATATTTACTAGCCATTTCTGGAAGGCCTTGTTCAAAACTGTGGGAGTTAAACTCAACCTCAGTACGGCTTATCATCCTCAAACGGACGGTCAAACTGAACGGGTGAATCAGTGTTTAGAAGCATACCTCAGGTGTTTTTGCAGTTCTTCCCCCAACACATGGTCATCTTGGCTGGTTCTTGCAGAGTGGTGGTATAACACTTCGTTTCATTTCAGTGCAAATACCACTCTGTTTGAAGCTTTATATGGTACTAAACCTCACAGTATTCCTTTGGGGCCTTACTCTTCAATTATAATACCAGCTGTTGCGGATATGTTGAATCAGAAAGCTAAGATCATGGTACTGCTAAAGGAGAGCCTGACCAAAGCACAGAGTCGGATGAAATTCTATACTGACCAAAAGCGTACAGAAAGAGTGCTACAAGTTGGAGACTGGGTGTACTTGAAAGTTCACCCTTACAAGCAGAATTCTGTGGCAATGCATACAGCTTTGAGGTTTACAGTGAGGTGGTATGGACCCTTTAAGGTCATAGAAAGGATTGGAAGCGTGGCTTATAAGCTCCAGCTACCTGCTCACTCAAAAATCCATCCCACATTCCATGTCTCTCTGCTTAAAAAGCATACAGGCAATGCTCCAGTGATGCCAGCTGAACTTCCCGACTTGGCAGATGATCAAGAAGGTATGCTAATTCCTGAGAAAGTGCTTCAAAGGAGATTCATAAAAAGGGGAGAACAGAATATTGTGCAGTGGTTAATTAAGTGGAAGAATCACGAGCTTGAGGATTCTTCCTGGGAGGACAGTGCTTTCATCACCAAACAGTTCCCCTCATTCAAGACTTGAGGACAAGTCTTATCTCAGCAGGAGGCATTGTCATGAACCGGCAATTTAAATTACTATAGGAGGGTAATGATAATTTACTTTTACTGTTTTGGTTTTTATCCTTTTATTAGTCTGATGTAAGCATTCCTGCCATGTACGTTTCGTGAGCTAGAAGCTGCCAAAATCAACAGCTGTCACTCAAGCTCCTTCCTAGCAATTTCCCTGTAATCATGGTTAGGATGATTAGTCAGGTTAGCTATTAAATAGGAGGAAAGGTTAGCAGAAGCGGTAGGCAAAATTTTGAAGAAAAGATTCTTTTCTCTTCTGTCCTTTTCTGATCTCTTTTTCGCACCCTTTTCTTTTCTTTTCTTCTTCTTTAATGATCGGTCTTCAACTCTCTTTCCCCTCCTCTTTTCTACCCTTCCTAATTTGATCCATCAATCACAATATTAAAAAGACCGTTGCATCACATTTGGTATATCAGAGCTGACGTGTCCTTGGCTTTTGTGTAACGTTCAAATCGGGATTCCCACAGGAAAAGAAAGATTCTGTCTTTTGTATGAAAAACAATGGCAGAAACTAGGGCTAAGACCACTCGAGCCCTGGAAGAGCACGTGAAGAAACAGGACTTACAGCTTTTGGAAATTTGTGAATGGAGGAAGCAGATGGAGGAAAAATTGAGCAACTGGGGAAGTTTACTTGAAGCGAAGGTGGATAAACAGGCGACTCACTCTCAGATGATGTTGGCTCAACTGAACGAATTATTGCAGTTGATGAATGAACAGAAGAAGGAGAAAAAGGAGACTCCATTGATGGGTAAGGCTCATATAGCTTCTTCAGCAGGTATTCTACCAACTCCTGGAAAAGTGCCTAAGATAAATTTAGATGAAGAAGAATCATCTGGGAAGACAGTAATGAGTAAATCTGATAAGAACATGTGGTTGTCTCAACCAAGATTAGAGCTTCCAAATTTTGAAGGTAAAAATCCCAGAGACTGGCTAAGAAAATGTGAAAAGTTCTTCAGTATATATGAAGTTTCTGATGAAAAGAAGTTAGATGCGGTTGAATTGTATCTAGATGGGAAGGCGGATAAATGGTACCAGAGTCTAAAAAGAGTTAAGTCAAAAATCTCGTGGGATGAATTTGAAATAGAGCTCATTAAACGATTTGGTGAGAAAGGAGGAAGAGATGATATAGAGGAGTTCAATAAGTTGCAACAAAAAGGTACTGTGTTGGACTATCATGAACGATTTGAAGAACTGAAATCCTTAGTGTTGTGCAAGGATCCTCATCTATCAGAGAAATATTTCATATCCAGCTTCATTAGTGGATTGAAGGAGGAATTGAAACCCATGGTCAGGCTGCTGGAACCATCAACCCTGCTTAGAGCCTTTGAAATTGCTATGATTCAAGAGCAAACGTTGGAATTTGCTTTGAAAGCTAAAGCAGGTATGGCTAGTAGCAACAAGCTGTTTCAACCCCAAGTAAGAAATCCTCATGTGATGAGGAACACAGCAGTGAAAGGAACAGGAAGTGAAGGTTTCAAAAGGCTGTCACCTCAGGAGATCCAATACAGAAGGAACAACCAACTATGCTGGAAATGTAAGGACAAATGGGGACCTGGTCATGTATGCAAGATCAAACAGCTTAATGTTATTGTGGCTGAAGATGATGAGGATCTGAGAGACCTTAATATAATTGAGGAAGGAGTTACTGATGCTGGCAATGTGGTGGTTATTCCTGAAGATCACATTCAAACAATTACTCAGATGGATGAATGTTGGGCAGTAAAGGAGGAAGACCGCAAGATAATTGTGATTATTGGATTCATTAATCAAGTTTTGATAAAAATCCTGATAGATACTGGAGCTTCGAGAAGCTTCATCAATGATCAGTTGGTCAGGAGAATGAGATTCCCAACAAGGACCATCAGGCCATTTATGGTCACTGTTGCTGGTGGTTATAAAATCAGGAATGATCAACTTTGTCCAGAGACTATTTGGTCTATCCAACAATATGATTTCCGGTTTGATCTCAAAGTGATTGATTTGGGAGAGTGGGACATCATACTGGGAACTGATTGGCTGTCAAGGTTTAGTCCCATAACCTTTGATTATGATCGGTTTACTATTCATCTCAACAGAAAAGGAGAAAGGTTCTTGTTGAAAGGAGAAGCCTATGAGACTCACAGGAGGATTGAAGATGTACTGGAAAATGTAGAGTTTCATAAGAGAAAGAGAGAGCAATGGCAGAGGGAACAAGAGATAAGGGTTGTGGAATATGGGAGAACCAGAAGAGCAACAGAGGCAGTAGGTTGGAATGCAGGTTGTTTATACACAGTCCACACTGAAGAAGTATCACAGGAGATTGCCTTTATTCTTAGGCAATATCAAGAGGTGTTTGCTGAACCAGTGGCATTACCACCTCCAAGAAAGGTGGATCACCAGATATGCTTAAAACCCGGAGCAGTACCATTCAAGTTGAAACCCTACCGGTACCCTCATGCCCAAAAAGCGAAAATTGAGAAACAAGTGGAGCAATTGTTGGAAAAAGGGACTGCTAGGCATAGTAATAGCCCTTATGCCTCTCCAGTTTTAATGGTTCAGAAGAAGGACGTATCATGGAGATTATGCACTGATTATAGGAAGCTTAATGAGATGACAATAAAGAACAGATTTCCAATACCTGTGATTGAGGAATTACAGGATGAGTTGCAAGGTGCTCAAGTATTTTCTAAGATCGATTTGCGGTCTGGCTATCACCAAATCCGGATGAAGGAGGAGGACATTCCCAAGACTGCATTTCAAACACACCATGGGCATTTTGAGTTTCTAGTCATGCCATTTGGCCTCACTAATGCACCAGCAACATTTCAGGCTCTAATGAATCAGGTATTTCAGCCCTACCTGAGGAAATTTGTATTGGTCTTTTTTGATGATATCTTGATTTACAGCCTCAATATGGAAGATCATGCCACTCATTTGACCATTGTTTTAAAGACCTTAAAAGAAAATGAGTTGTTTGCTAAACAAAGCAAGTGTCAGTTTTGCTCAAAATTCCATTGGATATTTAGGCCATGTCATCTCAAAACAAGGGGTAGCTATGGACAGTGATAAGGTTTCTAGCATAGTAAACTGGCCTGTGCCTGCATCTGTAAAAGAACTGAGAGGTTTTTTGGGGTTGGCAGGGTATTATAGAAGATTTGTTAAGGGTTTTGGGGTCATTAGTAAACCTCTAACAATGTTATTAAGGAAAGATTCCTTCAAGTGGACTGCATCTGCTACCACAGCATTCGTAAAGTTAAAGGAAGCCCTCTCAACTGCTCCAGTCCTTCTTCTACCAAATTTCAATAAGCCTTTTGTGGTTGAGACCGACGCATGCGATCAAGGAATTGGAGCTGTGCTTATGCAGGAAGGACACCCCATAGCCTACCTCAGTAAGGCCATCAGTCCTAGAAACCAAGCTTTATCAATCTATGAAAAAGAACTTCTAGCATTGGTGATGGCAGTTGACAAGTGGAAACATTATTTATATGGCCACCATTTCATTATCAAGTCAGACCAACAGGCTTTAAAATATTTAATGGAGCAGAAGATCTCTACAACTATGCAACAGAAGTGGCTCTCTAAGTTGCTTGGTTTAGACTATGAGATCCAGTACAAGAGGGGTAAGGAGAATATTGTTGCGGATGCATTATCAAGGAGGAGACATGAGGAAGGAAATACTGAAAGTTTAAATGCCATTTCCATAATACAACCCCAATGGATTCAACAGATTGAAGAAAGTTATCTCAATGATGAAGATGCACGACTCTTGATAGCTACTGCTTCTTTGAGTAATGATTCCTCTCAAAATTTACAATTTATTCAAGGCATATTGAAGATGGATGGAAAAATCTATGTGGGTAACAGTTCTAATATCAGGCAGCAGCTTTTGCAACACTTCCATTCATCTTCACTGGGTGGGCATTCCGGACAGAAAGCCACTTACAACAGGCTGAGAAGTGTTTTTATATGGAAGAATCAGAAAGCAGATGTAGATAAATATGTCAAAGCTTGTGTGATCTGTCAACAACATAAAAATGAGCATTTGCCATATCCGGGGTTGCTACAACCCTTGGAGATTCCACAGGAAGCTTGGAGAAGCATCTCAATGGATTTCATAGACCAGCTACCTCCTTCTGCTGATAATTATGATTCAATTCTGGTGGTAGTGGATAGACTGACTAAATACGGCCACTTTATCCCCTTGAAGCATCCTTATGCAGCAAAAGACATTGCTGAAATTTTTTTCCGGGAGATATTCAGGTTGCATGGTATTCCTGATTCAATTATCAGTGATAGGGACAGGATATTTACTAGCCATTTCTGGAAGGCCTTGTTCAAAACTGTGGGAGTTAAACTCAACCTCAGTACGGCTTATCATCCTCAAACGGACGGTCAAACTGAACGGGTGAATCAGTGTTTAGAAGCATACCTCAGGTGTTTTTGCAGTTCTTCCCCCAACACATGGTCATCTTGGCTGGTTCTTGCAGAGTGGTGGTATAACACTTCGTTTCATTTCAGTGCAAATACCACTCTGTTTGAAGCTTTATATGGTACTAAACCTCACAGTATTCCTTTGGGGCCTTACTCTTCAATTATAATACCAGCTGTTGCGGATATGTTGAATCAGAAAGCTAAGATCATGGTACTGCTAAAGGAGAGCCTGACCAAAGCACAGAGTCGGATGAAATTCTATACTGACCAAAAGCGTACAGAAAGAGTGCTACAAGTTGGAGACTGGGTGTACTTGAAAGTTCACCCTTACAAGCAGAATTCTGTGGCAATGCATACAGCTTTGAGGTTTACAGTGAGGTGGTATGGACCCTTTAAGGTCATAGAAAGGATTGGAAGCGTGGCTTATAAGCTCCAGCTACCTGCTCACTCAAAAATCCATCCCACATTCCATGTCTCTCTGCTTAAAAAGCATACAGGCAATGCTCCAGTGATGCCAGCTGAACTTCCCGACTTGGCAGATGATCAAGAAGGTATGCTAATTCCTGAGAAAGTGCTTCAAAGGAGATTCATAAAAAGGGGAGAACAGAATATTGTGCAGTGGTTAATTAAGTGGAAGAATCACGAGCTTGAGGATTCTTCCTGGGAGGACAGTGCTTTCATCACCAAACAGTTCCCCTCATTCAAGACTTGAGGACAAGTCTTATCTCAGCAGGAGGCATTGTCATGAACCGGCAATTTAAATTACTATAGGAGGGTAATGATAATTTACTTTTACTGTTTTGGTTTTTATCCTTTTATTAGTCTGATGTAAGCATTCCTGCCATGTACGTTTCGTGAGCTAGAAGCTGCCAAAATCAACAGCTGTCACTCAAGCTCCTTCCTAGCAATTTCCCTGTAATCATGGTTAGGATGATTAGTCAGGTTAGCTATTAAATAGGAGGAAAGGTTAGCAGAAGCGGTAGGCAAAATTTTGAAGAAAAGATTCTTTTCTCTTCTGTCCTTTTCTGATCTCTTTTTCGCACCCTTTTCTTTTCTTTTCTTCTTCTTTAATGATCGGTCTTCAACTCTCTTTCCCCTCCTCTTTTCTACCCTTCCTAATTTGATCCATCAATCACAATATTAAAAAGACCGTTGCATCACATTTGGTATATCAGAGCTGACGTGTCCTTGGCTTTTGTGTAACGTTCAAATCGGGATTCCCACAGGAAAAGAAAGATTCTGTCTTTTGTATGAAAAACAATGGCAGAAACTAGGGCTAAGACCACTCGAGCCCTGGAAGAGCACGTGAAGAAACAGGACTTACAGCTTTTGGAAATTTGTGAATGGAGGAAGCAGATGGAGGAAAAATTGAGCAACTGGGGAAGTTTACTTGAAGCGAAGGTGGATAAACAGGCGACTCACTCTCAGATGATGTTGGCTCAACTGAACGAATTATTGCAGTTGATGAATGAACAGAAGAAGGAGAAAAAGGAGACTCCATTGATGGGTAAGGCTCATATAGCTTCTTCAGCAGGTATTCTACCAACTCCTGGAAAAGTGCCTAAGATAAATTTAGATGAAGAAGAATCATCTGGGAAGACAGTAATGAGTAAATCTGATAAGAACATGTGGTTGTCTCAACCAAGATTAGAGCTTCCAAATTTTGAAGGTAAAAATCCCAGAGACTGGCTAAGAAAATGTGAAAAGTTCTTCAGTATATATGAAGTTTCTGATGAAAAGAAGTTAGATGCGGTTGAATTGTATCTAGATGGGAAGGCGGATAAATGGTACCAGAGTCTAAAAAGAGTTAAGTCAAAAATCTCGTGGGATGAATTTGAAATAGAGCTCATTAAACGATTTGGTGAGAAAGGAGGAAGAGATGATATAGAGGAGTTCAATAAGTTGCAACAAAAAGGTACTGTGTTGGACTATCATGAACGATTTGAAGAACTGAAATCCTTAGTGTTGTGCAAGGATCCTCATCTATCAGAGAAATATTTCATATCCAGCTTCATTAGTGGATTGAAGGAGGAATTGAAACCCATGGTCAGGCTGCTGGAACCATCAACCCTGCTTAGAGCCTTTGAAATTGCTATGATTCAAGAGCAAACGTTGGAATTTGCTTTGAAAGCTAAAGCAGGTATGGCTAGTAGCAACAAGCTGTTTCAACCCCAAGTAAGAAATCCTCATGTGATGAGGAACACAGCAGTGAAAGGAACAGGAAGTGAAGGTTTCAAAAGGCTGTCACCTCAGGAGATCCAATACAGAAGGAACAACCAACTATGCTGGAAATGTAAGGACAAATGGGGACCTGGTCATGTATGCAAGATCAAACAGCTTAATGTTATTGTGGCTGAAGATGATGAGGATCTGAGAGACCTTAATATAATTGAGGAAGGAGTTACTGATGCTGGCAATGTGGTGGTTATTCCTGAAGATCACATTCAAACAATTACTCAGATGGATGAATGTTGGGCAGTAAAGGAGGAAGACCGCAAGATAATTGTGATTATTGGATTCATTAATCAAGTTTTGATAAAAATCCTGATAGATACTGGAGCTTCGAGAAGCTTCATCAATGATCAGTTGGTCAGGAGAATGAGATTCCCAACAAGGACCATCAGGCCATTTATGGTCACTGTTGCTGGTGGTTATAAAATCAGGAATGATCAACTTTGTCCAGAGACTATTTGGTCTATCCAACAATATGATTTCCGGTTTGATCTCAAAGTGATTGATTTGGGAGAGTGGGACATCATACTGGGAACTGATTGGCTGTCAAGGTTTAGTCCCATAACCTTTGATTATGATCGGTTTACTATTCATCTCAACAGAAAAGGAGAAAGGTTCTTGTTGAAAGGAGAAGCCTATGAGACTCACAGGAGGATTGAAGATGTACTGGAAAATGTAGAGTTTCATAAGAGAAAGAGAGAGCAATGGCAGAGGGAACAAGAGATAAGGGTTGTGGAATATGGGAGAACCAGAAGAGCAACAGAGGCAGTAGGTTGGAATGCAGGTTGTTTATACACAGTCCACATTGAAGAAGTACCACAGGAGATTGCCTTTATTCTTAGGCAATATCAAGAGGTGTTTGCTGAACCAGTGGCATTACCACCTCCAAGAAAGGTGGATCACCAGATATGCTTAAAACCCGGAGCAGTACCATTCAAGTTGAAACCCTACCGGTACCCTCATGCCCAAAAAGCGAAAATTGAGAAACAAGTGGAGCAATTGTTGGAAAAAGGGACTGCTAGGCATAGTAATAGCCCTTATGCCTCTCCAGTTTTAATGGTTCAGAAGAAGGACGAATCATGGAGATTATGCACTGATTATAGGAAGCTTAATGAGATGACAATAAAGAACAGATTTCCAATACCTGTGATTGAGGAATTACAGGATGAGTTGCAAGGTGCTCAAGTATTTTCTAAGATCGATTTGCGGTCTGGCTATCACCAAATCCGGATGAAGGAGGAGGACATTCCCAAGACTGCATTTCAAACACACCATGGGCATTTTGAGTTTCTAGTCATGCCATTTGGCCTCACTAATGCACCAGCAACATTTCAGGCTCTAATGAATCAGGTATTTCAGCCCTACCTGAGGAAATTTGTATTGGTCTTTTTTGATGATATCTTGATTTACAGCCTCAATATGGAAGATCATGCCACTCATTTGACCATTGTTTTAAAGACCTTAAAAGAAAATGAGTTGTTTGCTAAACAAAGCAAGTGTCAGTTTGCTCAAAATTCCATTGGATATTTAGGCCATGTCATCTCAAAACAAGGGGTAGCTATGGACAGTGATAAGGTTTCTAGCATAGTAAACTGGCCTGTGCCTGCATCTGTAAAAGAACTGAGAGGTTTTTTGGGGTTGGCAGGGTATTATAGAAGATTTGTTAAGGGTTTTGGGGTCATTAGTAAACCTCTAACAATGTTATTAAGGAAAGATTCCTTCAAGTGGACTGCATCTGCTACCACAGCATTCGTAAAGTTAAAGGAAGCCCTCTCAACTGCTCCAGTCCTTCTTCTACCAAATTTCAATAAGCCTTTTGTGGTTGAGACCGACGCATGCGATCAAGGAATTGGAGCTGTGCTTATGCAGGAAGGACACCCCATAGCCTACCTCAGTAAGGCCATCAGTCCTAGAAACCAAGCTTTATCAATCTATGAAAAAGAACTTCTAGCATTGGTGATGGCAGTTGACAAGTGGAAACATTATTTATATGGCCACCATTTCATTATCAAGTCAGACCAACAGGCTTTAAAATATTTAATGGAGCAGAAGATCTCTACAACTATGCAACAGAAGTGGCTCTCTAAGTTGCTTGGTTTAGACTATGAGATCCAGTACAAGAGGGGTAAGGAGAATATTGTTGCGGATGCATTATCAAGGAGGAGACATGAGGAAGGAAATACTGAAAGTTTAAATGCCATTTCCATAATACAACCCCAATGGATTCAACAGATTGAAGAAAGTTATCTCAATGATGAAGATGCACGACTCTTGATAGCTACTGCTTCTTTGAGTAATGATTCCTCTCAAAATTTACAATTTATTCAAGGCATATTGAAGATGGATGGAAAAATCTATGTGGGTAACAGTTCTAATATCAGGCAGCAGCTTTTGCAACACTTCCATTCATCTTCACTGGGTGGGCATTCCGGACAGAAAGCCACTTACAACAGGCTGAGAAGTGTTTTTATATGGAAGAATCAGAAAGCAGATGTAGATAAATATGTCAAAGCTTGTGTGATCTGTCAACAACATAAAAATGAGCATTTGCCATATCCGGGGTTGCTACAACCCTTGGAGATTCCACAGGAAGCTTGGAGAAGCATCTCAATGGATTTCATAGACCAGCTACCTCCTTCTGCTGATAATTATGATTCAATTCTGGTGGTAGTGGATAGACTGACTAAATACGGCCACTTTATCCCCTTGAAGCATCCTTATGCAGCAAAAGACATTGCTGAAATTTTTTTCCGGGAGATATTCAGGTTGCATGGTATTCCTGATTCAATTATCAGTGATAGGGACAGGATATTTACTAGCCATTTCTGGAAGGCCTTGTTCAAAACTGTGGGAGTTAAACTCAACCTCAGTACGGCTTATCATCCTCAAACGGACGGTCAAACTGAACGGGTGAATCAGTGTTTAGAAGCATACCTCAGGTGTTTTTGCAGTTCTTCCCCCAACACATGGTCATCTTGGCTGGTTCTTGCAGAGTGGTGGTATAACACTTCGTTTCATTTCAGTGCAAATACCACTCTGTTTGAAGCTTTATATGGTACTAAACCTCACAGTATTCCTTTGGGGCCTTACTCTTCAATTATAATACCAGCTGTTGCGGATATGTTGAATCAGAAAGCTAAGATCATGGTACTGCTAAAGGAGAGCCTGACCAAAGCACAGAGTCGGATGAAATTCTATACTGACCAAAAGCGTACAGAAAGAGTGCTACAAGTTGGAGACTGGGTGTACTTGAAAGTTCACCCTTACAAGCAGAATTCTGTGGCAATGCATACAGCTTTGAGGTTTACAGTGAGGTGGTATGGACCCTTTAAGGTCATAGAAAGGATTGGAAGCGTGGCTTATAAGCTCCAGCTACCTGCTCACTCAAAAATCCATCCCACATTCCATGTCTCTCTGCTTAAAAAGCATACAGGCAATGCTCCAGTGATGCCAGCTGAACTTCCCGACTTGGCAGATGATCAAGAAGGTATGCTAATTCCTGAGAAAGTGCTTCAAAGGAGATTCATAAAAAGGGGGAGAACAGAATATTGTGCAGTGGTTAATTAAGTGGAAGAATCACGAGCTTGAGGATTCTTCCTGGGAGGACAGTGCTTTCATCACCAAACAGTTCCCCTCATTCAAGACTTGAGGACAAGTCTTATCTCAGCAGGAGGCATTGTCATGAACCGGCAATTTAAATTACTATAGGAGGGTAATGATAATTTACTTTTACTGTTTTGGTTTTTATCCTTTTATTAGTCTGATGTAAGCATTCCTGCCATGTACGTTTCGTGAGCTAGAAGCTGCCAAAATCAACAGCTGTCACTCAAGCTCCTTCCTAGCAATTTCCCTGTAATCATGGTTAGGATGATTAGTCAGGTTAGCTATTAAATAGGAGGAAAGGTTAGCAGAAGCGGTAGGCAAAATTTTGAAGAAAAGATTCTTTTCTCTTCTGTCCTTTTCTGATCTCTTTTTCGCACCCTTTTCTTTTCTTTTCTTCTTCTTTAATGATCGGTCTTCAACTCTCTTTCCCCTCCTCTTTTCTACCCTTCCTAATTTGATCCATCAATCACAATATTAAAAAGACCGTTGCATCACAGAGAAAACCAGTTATACTGCTAGATCGGTTCAGAACAAGCCCACGAGTCAACGCTCAAGTGGGAGAATATAAAATCACCACAGGTCACCTTCGGCCCAGAACTCCACCACAGGCCCAACACGCTCTGATACCATGTCAAAGTATATAGGTACTTTGGACTCCCATCTCAAAACCAATTGACAATGAGTGGGGTGGCCTTTGACACTTATATATTGAGTCATTTCTATTCACAGTGGCGATGTGTGACACATCATACACCTTAACATGGTACATGATTAACCGTTGAGGTTCTTCCTTTTGACGCTTAAAGATTTTTCATTAATGAGTGTAATTGAGTATGGCTGAATGGCGGAAAAAGATTTTCAGGCAGAAAAACGGAGAAAAATCGAGCTAATGGTTGAATTGTCGGATCAAAGTTGAGAGTTTCAGACTTTCAGGCGAGAGAACTTTTGTATTATTTTTTTTATAAGTGGAGTTTTCTTTTTCTTTTCTTTTTTTGTTTTTCTAAAATCCACTGCAGTGGACCTCACTTAAATGTGGGTAAAACCCTCTTACAACTCATGATGGGAATCGAACTTTGATCTATTACCATGAACGACAGTAACCTAACTACTAGACTGTCATTCAATTCTCAAGCGGGCTTTTTTTTTATTTAAGTTGTTTTGATTAAAAAAAATTAAAAAGCTGACAAGGAGGGTCATTCGCGTCCGGTTTCGAGTTAAGTTTTCGCGCAGAGTATCATTTCCGTGGTATATAGAAACTTCATTTTCACATGGAACATCATTAACCGAAAAATAATAAATAGTAGGAGTATATAAATAACACTCACGCCAACATAATTCTTTTAAAAAATCTACAATTTGACACATTGGTCCTTGGAAAAAGAAAACGCAAAAAATAAAAATAAAAAATGTCACAGCTTTTCATTTCAATAACGAATAATATTAGATGAAGCCTCAGAATATTGGTACTTATAAATTTTTTTTTATCAGTTTTATCAATAAAATGGTTGTATTCCCAATCATCTGTTAATGAAAGATTAGGCTAAATGCGTTCCTTAATGTTTTGATTTAGTAGGCGATACTACTATTAACTTATAACATTAAATTTGACATTCGTAGCTCTGCATCACCATGGACAAATTAGTCCTCAATTCTCCTCTATAATCAAGAGGAGAAAAACGGAAATTATTGTTAAGGTGAATAGAAAACACCAATGAAATTATATTCGGGCTACAAATGTAATCTTAAAATGATACATTTAGTATTATGTCTTTATTGTAGTACTACTTACAAATAAATATTTGCATCTCTGAATTTTCGTTTATGTGTAATATACATGAATTGAATTAGAGGACCTGGAGATGGGTTGGATCCTGATAAGTAATGGAATAGCGAATCAAGTTCCACTGTTCTGCTTTCTGAGAGAAGCCGAGCAATATTTAACGCAAGTTTTTAAACACTGAGAGTTTACGAAAGACCCACGAATACTACCTGCGTCAATGCAGCTTGGAAAACATTTTTTATAGCATTCAGCTTCCTTCAATTGGTTCTCCTGTGGCTGAACCGTTGCATTTCCGGCGGGTGTCTCCGCCTCCGCGGTCGCCACCGCGGCCACCATCACCAGTACCATCACCCATATGCATTTCTTCATCCTCATATCCATTTTTTTACTTAACTTTTATGTCTTTTCTTCTTTTTTTCCCCTGTTTTTTTGATTTTGGTGAAAGTCTGAAAGTTTCAGGCAGAATTTTTATATTGGTGGGAAGCGTTAAAAGTAATGCATGGGAGGCCAGTAAATTCGGAAATCCGGTGAATCCTTTAGAAATTAATGACGACACATTCTAGACAATTACTGATTTACTATTTACTAATAATACTTGCGTTCCAATTTGGAGCATTAACACTAGGGCAATTGGACAAATTATTACACGAAGGATCACCCTTTAACCGAAGTAACTTGTGAATAACTCTGAAGCCTATGTAACCAAAAAAAAAAAAGAAAAACTCTGAAGCCTTAGCAAGTCAGCAACTATGTTAATTATTTACGTGATCAAAAATTGCAACAATACATGAATACGATCAAGCTGACATAATCGATAATCCTGATTTCCGTCAAGCTTGAAACCCACCTTAGCCCACAAAGCACATACTCGGTCCATTTCCATTTTAGTCTTTTGGGCTTGTTGGTCAAACAAAGGCCCAAAAACTAAAAATGAAAAATTAGTTGAATGTTCTTACATTCCAATAACTCATCTAATTAACTACTTTAACTACACACATATTGGTTAATCTTTCCGTGAACACAATAAAGCTAATAAATCAGGTGATCGAATCCTGTTTTAAATTTTTCCATAAATCAACCGAAAGATTATCCATTATTTCCACAATTAACACCTTAAAATGTGGGGAAAAAAAGTTGCATATTCCTCGATCTGTCATGTATCTTTAGCTTTTGGTTTCAATTAGTTTCGAGTAAAGAAAACACTACAACGTACAATGTGATAGTACTATTTCTGTAAGTATGATAAAGTACATTCTTATGATGCCATGGCTTTTGATATACATACAAAAAGGTTGAACAACATAAATATCTATTCAGTCTTCCTTATTATAAGTTATTTTCTCTTAAATTTAATTTATCGTATTTTTTTAATTAAAAGTAAAAATTTTAAAAATTTATAACATTAGGAATAAACAATAAAAAAAAGTATTTTTAAAATTATTTTTAATTAAAAGAAACAAATCAAAATGTTCTATAATAATAATCGGATCAGATGGAGTAATTCTAGTTCGATAAGTTTACTACGAAACAGGCAAACACCAGAATATGATCTCATCCGAAAACCATAAAAAATGAAGCATTACAATGGAAAACTGCAAAACAAGTGCTGACTACATATATCTGATGTTGAGGTGGATTCAAACTTCAAAGTCTCGAATATGTTTCCACATTTAGGATGAAGAAGAAGACATTTTTGTGAATGGAAATTGTCCAAAACCCATAATAATAAAAGGCCACATTTCGTCCCCACAGGATAACCTACCACATGATGTATTGTTATCCTTTAGCAACCCTCTCTCTCATTTAGATTAGTCCCTGCAGCTTGTCTGTTTGTAGGGTACTTCGTCCCCCATTTTCTTGAGACTTTTTAACTTAGGATTACGCAAGTTGCTTTGCAAATGCTTTTACTTCTTTCTCTTTCAATATCTCTTTTCACCCTGGATAATAATAAATAATCTATTTACTGAATTGTGTATTTGTATTACAAAAATAAAATAGTTGATTAAAGAAATTAAAATTATTTCATATTCAAAGCAAAGATTAGAACAGTTAATTCGAGTTGAGGATAAAATAGTAAACCACACCTCATACCCGTTTGGTTAATTGTTCTACTTTCAGTTACATTTAAGAAAAATAATTTCCAAAACAAAAAAAAAAGAGAAAAATAATTTACTTCATCGTTTTTTTCTGTGCATGCATATTCCGCCAGTACGAAATTTTGGGCCTTAATGTTGATATTTTTGGAATTCTATGTGAGATTTGGAAAGGGACTTCATTATAATATCTGTACATTACAATAATTTCTGAATGTAGGGCATATATATATGATTCAAACAGCAATATACATCAATGCAGCATGAAAATGTGCATCCCCTCAAAAAAAATTATGAAATGAAGAGGAAGTTATAAACTAGCTCTTTAAGTGATAAATAATGACCAACATCTTGTGTGTACATTATTTTGGTCTTGAGAGTGTTGAAATATTCATCTATTAGGAATACTAGTACAACTTTACACAAATTTGCTAAAGAAAGAAAACGACCATTGAATAGTGGACTCTGGATAGTTCAATTGCGTCGAATGACCAACATCTTGCATCCGAAAGGGGAAGCTCACTTATTTTTCTCTTGTTTTTAATCTTTTGGTTAGCTCTTTCTTTATAGAAGTTTCGCTTCTTTATTATTAGTGGGTTTAGCTCTTCCTTTATGAAAGTCCGAATCTCTCATTTTGAGATTTTCAGTTCCTCTTTGAGGCTTTTTTTCTTTGTTTTGTGTGTTGTTTCTATGTTTTTCAATAGATCTGACGAAGGTGAAGAAGATTCATGGCTTCGTAAGGAAGACAAGACTGAACATGTAATTGAAAGAGAAACAAGTGAAGGGATGTTTTAAATTTGAGACTATTAGTTAGGCATTATAGATATGTGACTCATAGTCAGATCTGCAGTTTTAGTCTTGTTAGATTATAGTTGACCTCTATTTGTTAGTGTTCAGGTTTGCTTTAATACTTTCCTCAGGTACTATATCTCTAAACTGTAATCAGTAATGTTGTCACGGTGTAGCCAAATTAGCTTATCCTAGTTCTGTTTACAGTATTGAGTTTATCTCTGTTCTATGGTAGGTATAGCGAGTATGGCGGATTGTATTATCTCGTTGTAAAACCTTATAATTTCCTCTATCTTTTATATTAATGAATATCGCTTTTGGAAAAAAAAAAAAAAAAAAGACCAACATCTTGACTAGATATAATACATCACTACATTTTCCATTATTATCTATCTTAGAGAATGTGATTTTCTTTTTTCAGATTACACAGCTTTCTAAAATATCCAACAAAAAAAAAAGGGAAAGTTGATAATTCATCTAAAACTTGTGCTTAATACACTTATAAACAAAGATTTGACCTGCCCTCTTTG